TCCAATCCTGATGCCATGTTTTTTTCATAGAACCCAGCTTCTCGGATTATTTGCTCAGCATACAGGTTGAGTAAGTATGGTGAAAGAATACAACCCTGTCTCACACCTTTCCCAATTTTCAACCATTCAATGTTCCCATGTTCTGTTCGAACAACTGCTCCTTGGTCCAGGTATAGATTCCTCATGAGCACAATTAAGTGTTCTGGGATACTCATACTTCGCAATGTTGTCCATAGCTTGTCATGATTCACACAATTGAAAGCCTTTGCGTAGTCAATAAAGCACTGGTAAACATCTTTCTGATATTCTCTGCTTCCAGCCAAGATCCATTGGACATCAGCAATGATATCCCTTGTTCCACGGCCTCTTCTGAATCTGGCTTGAACCTCTGGAAGTTCTCTGTCAATGCATGCTTGCAGCCATTTCTCTATTACCTTTATTACAACTTTACTCGCATGGGATATCAAAGAGATTGTCTGATGAATTCCACATTCCATTAGGTCACCTCTCTTTGGAATGGGCACAAATACGGATCTTTCCAATCTGTCGGCCATATAGTTGTCTTCCAACTTTCTTGGCAGAGATGAATGAGTGCCTCCTGTGCTGCCTAACTTTCTTGAAAGATTTCAATTTGTATTCCATCAATTCCTGGTGCCTTATTCTTTGCCAATTCCTTCAACGCACCTTGGACTTCCTCCTTCAATATCACTGGCTCTTGACCATATGCTACTAGAAATACATAGTTTCTTACAAGTTATAGTGAAGATGTTGAGTAATTTTAACAGAGGATTTAAATACCAGTGATATTAAAAACAATTTGTTCTCATATGAACATGTGAAGACATGTATATATCATTTTAAGGAAACCCTATTCAAGGTTGCTATGAGTAGGAACTGACTAGATGGTACTTAAGAACAACATTTTTTTTGTAAATCAAACACATGAACATTTAACCAAGTATAAAGTAATAATTGTTAGACTAGGAAAATAATTATTTCTAAAAGTAAAACACAATGAGGTTAGTCATGACAGAAGATACATCATCAAAGGAAAATGTTGACTCGTGACAAAAAATAACCAAGATTTGAAGAGAAGATTTATAAAGGTAATTATGGCAATGGACAAAATCTTAAAGGATAAACATATTTTGTTTGATTCATAGTGCAAAGTAACATGGGTCAAAGTAACATGAAGGATTACAGTTTTTCATGAGAAGACAAAAATATAATATTAATTTTCCTGTATTGTCAAAAATCCTTCCTGTTTAAGAATCTCAGAATCCAGAATAAGTGTAAGATAAAGCCTTGCAAAATGAATCAATTTTATTTTTTAAAGTATTATGTGACTTGATTTCAATTATTTTTATAGCAGTACATAATGATTCATATATTACTTTTTAAAAATGTAATTTTAATTTCCTTGAGACCTGGTGGAGCTGTAAGATTAGCATCTGACCGCTAACCACAAGGTAGACAGTTCAGACTAACCAGCTGCTCCATGGAAGGAAGATGAGGCTGTCTGGTCCCATAAGAATTTACAGTCTCCAAAACTCTATATGGGGGGTTGCTATGAGTCAGAATTGATTCAATGGCAGTGGGTTTTGTCTTTACTAAACTATTTCATATTTGTGTTTTTCTTGTTGTTGTTAAGTGCTGTCGAGCCAGTTACAAGTCATAGTAACCCTATATATGGTTTTCAAGGAGAAGCTGATGGGTTTGAACTACTGTCCATTTGGTTAGCAGTCCAGTGCTTATCCTACAGCATCACACCAAGAGTTCTATAAGTTACCTCAAAAAGATGCCAAATTACGTGCTCTTCCATAGTCACAGTGCATGTAGTACTAAAAGACTTTTCTGCCAAGTTAGTTCCTACTCATAGCCACTCTGTGATAAAGCAGTATTACCCCATAGGGTTTCCTAGGCTGTACCCACCAGCTGCTCCTTGGAAACCCTATACAGGGTCACTGTGAGTTGCAGCCGACTGACAGCACTTAACAATCTTTACAGGATGGTGTCTGGGTGTGTTGCTATAGGATAAGGCAGTTCAGACCTACCAGCTGCTCCTCAGAAACCCTATACAGGGTGGCTATGAGTTAGAATTGACTTGCTAGCACTTAACAAGAACAATCTTTATAGGAGCAGATCACCAGATCGTCTATCCCATGGAGCCACTGGAGGGTTTGAACCACTGACCTTTCAGTTAACAGGCCGGCAACCAGTAGGGCTCCTTACTTAAAGACTAAAATTTTCAGCTGATCAAGTCTGCCCTCAGCAGCTCAATTTTTGTCTATAAATTTGGTTAAAGACTTCTAACTTGCAAGGTAAAGGAGATACAAATAAATCTATTTGCCATAACACCTGTTTCATAGAGTTCTCTTGGCTATAATTTTTGTAGAAGCAGATCACTTGACATTCCTTGTGTGTAGTTGCTTGGTGGGTTCAAACTTCCCACCTTTAGTAATCCATTGCAAACTATTTACATCATTTCTTGTTAGGAGTGTATAAAGTGACAATTTCAATATCTTTTGGTACTAAAGATGTTTGTAAATGTGTGGCATTATCTTATTATTAGTAATACAAGTTTTTGGCATTCTTATCAGTAATATATTTGTTATTGGCTGTAGTAGAATATTTGGAGTTAACATACTGCGATGGATATTCAAATTCTATCATGTGCTTGGTGAAAACATTGAATGGTGGTCTACAACTTAAACTAATTATAAACATCAATATCAACAACTTAAACTAACTATAAGCACCAACATCATAAGTCAGGTTACATTGGTTCATAGAAGTGATTTTTTTTCTTTTTCCATAGCAACTGTGATACTACTCCCAAAGTAATCATAGAAGACTTTTTTTTACTCCTGTGTTATGCTCAGGTAAAGTTGAATTGGGCCCAAATTTTGCATGTTAGATCGACTTTATTTTTGAATTGCATGAAATAATTAAATTTCTATTTTTCTGCTTGAAAAGTTTGATTTAAATATCTTAGGAACGAGACACACCATGAATCCCCGTAAGAAGCAAAAGTGTCAGCTTGTTTCTAAATGGAAATCCCCAACTGTCACAGCACATCATCAATCATCTGACATAATCAGACTTCTACAGAGCTGGAATATACTTTGAAGGTCAGATAGCTGAATGAAAACATTTACCTTAGTGGATTTTTAAGGCAGAAATGCTTAAATCCAGAGCACTGTTACAGCGGCAGAAAAAGCTTCTCATCAAATGAGAGAATAAAGAGTGGAGGATTTTAAGCTCAAAAAGTCTCTTTTGCCTAAGCAAAATTTCAAACGTTTCAGCCTGTATTTTATTCAAAACTTTGATTAAAAAAGATTGATGGAATGATAGAATCACATTGATCTTTCAGAGACAATATGTTACTAGAGTTCAGCAAGCAAGAATTATTTGGCCCACACGTTTAAAAATTGGGGAAATGAGACACTTAAAACAAAACTGGAACCATTCTCCCCCACCCCCAACTCAGATTTTTGGTTGAAGGAATTGGAACTTTTGGCCACAGGATGCCTGTGTTCATATATGGAAAAGTAGATTGGGGTGGAGCAATGTCTGCTCCCTACACAAGCTCTACCAGTAGCTAGTCCCTTCTACTCCTTCTGGTATTCATATTGCCTCTCCTACCCCTCACTCCCTCCTCCATCCCTTCCATTTCCTCCCCAGCACTGACACTGCAGATTTTATGCAGCTTTTGAAATTAATAATTTTATTATTTTTTTAAAAAAGAGCAAATCTCTTTACCCCACGGATAAACCCACGGACTGTTTTCACTTTCCAACGGTCCTACAGCTGCCTGTTTTCTAAGGTTCTCAATGATTTGACTATAACCTGCTTTTCCAGAAAGGTCAAAAAAACTGAGACTTAAGAACCAAAGGAACGATGTTGCAGTCTCAGCTTTACCATAAACTATCTGTGCACCTTGGAGAACTGTTGAGCTTTCTTAGCTAAGATGATGAATGGTCCGTAAAACACGAACTTAACACCGGCTCTGAATACCCCAGTGGTTGCACAGCATATACAGAGATTTAAAAACACCCCTAAAGTAATTTGAGTTTTGGTGCGGCGCTGTAGGATAAGCACTGGACAGCAAGGTCTGGTTGAACGTCAAGGCTGGTGGTTCAAACCCACGAGCTGTTCCGCAGAAACCCTATACAGGGTCTATGAGTCCGAATGGAGTCCACGGCACTTAAAAATTTGAAACCTCTAAACAGTTCCTAGCACAAGCGTCTTGCTACAGAGTGGGATGACACCGTGGCTTTATAAGTAGGTTACTGCTCCCACCTCGCACGCTCACGGTGAGCGATGGGAGAAGAGTCTCAGAGGATAAAGTCTAGAAAACTTGCAGAGTGAAGCAAGAAAAGCTCCTTGAAGGAAGTTAAATTGTTGGCGGCATTTTTAAGTCCCAGAGGGGGCATATCAATTCCCAGCCGAGATAACAGACTTCGCCTAATGGCTAGCGCGGAAACCGGCTCCACAGGCCTGATTCGAACCATTTTAGCCAGGACCCGAGACCCTAGACCTCGCCCTTGTCCCCAACCCCCACAATCACCTCCCCCGCTCTCTTCCACGTGACAAGAGCCGGAACCGTCATTTCCGGCGGCGCGGGGAGCGCGCCTGCGCGGGGACCTGGCTTCACTGAGCGGTTGGCAACAGTGCCGCGCCGCCAACGGCCGCGAGTGGCGGACGGCGCAGGTCCGGCTCGGGCGGCGGCGGCGCGGCGGGCTGCGGTCAGGAGGGTGTGCGGCCAGGAGGTCCAGCCTACTCCCTGGAGGGGCCGGCCAGCCGCCCCGCCCCTTCTCCGTGCCCCTCCCTCTCTCCCTCCTCCCGGGCTCGCGCTCCCAGCGCTAAGGAGGTGGCTAGGGCACTCGGGGCACTTGCGAAGGCGGCGTCGTTGCCCTCACACTCGGGCCCGCCCCCCTGCGCCCCGCCCGGTCTCCGCCCTCCGCCGCCCTCTGCGGGAGCCCAGTAGCAGCTGCGGAGCTGTGCGCTCTGGGCGCGCGTAATGTGAAGCTCGGCGGGCCGCAGCGCGAACGGACGCACTGACCGGAGAGGAGCGGCGACCCCTCGCGGACATTCGGCTGCGCGCCGCCTCGGGGACTCGCCCTTTCGCTCGCCCTTGCGCGCGCCCCGTGCCCCCCTGTGCACCGGCGGGACCATGAAGAAGTTTTCTCGGATGCCCAAGTCCGAGGGCGGCGGAGCTGCGGGTGGCGGGGCCGGCGGGGCTGGGGCCGGCTCCAGCTCGGGAGGTTCGTCCGTGGGAGTCCGGGTGTTTGCGGTCGGACGCCACCAGGTCACCCTGGAGGAGTCACTGGCCGAAGGTAGGGGCGCCTGGGAATGCTCGGGCAGGCATGTGAGGGAGGGTTTCTGTGGCAGTGGCTTCACCTGGTCCTCTCCTGCTCTTCTCCTAGCCCGGTCGATTCACTCTTCCTCCCCTTTATGCCTGTTCTGCTGGGCCATCGAGGGCTCTTACGTCGCTAGGGCTTTGGTTCTTAAGCTGGCTTTTCTCGCCACTGGCAGCACTGATAGTCCCTAGTTCTCTCATTATGAGTTTAAATCATTTTCTGTCCTCCTTGACGCGAGGAAGTAAATAGAAAACGTCCTAGCAAGTGATGTGTTGTCATGATTGGATCAGTGACTCATTAGCGGCTCAGATAGAGCAGGATTGAGGCTCTGTTCCGCCCGCCGAGGCTCAGGCGGTTGTCATGGGTTGACTTCTTCCGACTCGCCACTGCTCCTTAGGGTATAGAACCCTGCACTCTGGTGTCTAGCCTGGGTTTAAGTCGTCATTCGAAAAGCAGTATGTGTTCTGAAGGTGATTATTTTGACCCAGATTCAATCCGTTAATTTGCTTTTGGGGAATAAGTAAATTTGAAGCCCATTTACTGTTGTTATTCAGAATCTTCTGTATCTGATAAATTCCTGTTCAGGCCCTTCCTGCATGTCTCTTTGGTAGTAGTTTAGCGTTCGCTTCGAAGTTGAAGCATAGTGTTCTGCCCTTCGTTATCTGTCGCAGGCAGGTACAAGTCAGCTTACAAAAAAATTTTACTCCAATGAAAAAAAAAAAGATTCTCTAATTTGTATTTTTGGTATAATTGGCTTGTAGAAAGTACGGCAATTATACCATTGCATTGACCTGAGTTTTTATTGCACAATGATAGTGGAAAAAATCATAAGAGGTAGTTATTATTAGTAAGTGGTCCTCTTAGGGTCTGAGGTTAAGAGTAAAGTCACTGACGGGAGTAGTTTTGGTTATCCAAGATTTAGATGTTGCTGTGGTTTGAAAACACTAGACTGAAATTCCACTTGTATTTATTGAAATGTTATAAACAATGGCAAATGAGTGCACGAGAAAAAAAAAACTGAAGATTTTTGTTTATATAATATTCTGAGAGAAATAAATCTTGAATGCTATTGTTTGCAGGCTCTTAACCCAAAATAACAAGTTTGCTTGAATCTTTGAAAAGGAGGAGGAGGGATCCTTAGCTTTTCAAAAGAATGAATTTAATGATTGGTATCCTTATTCAGAGGTACTCTGTTGTAAAATGTCCTTGCTCTGTGAACTTCAAGTGGTGACTTAGATTGGGTTGTAGGTTTTAAGAAGACATTGCTGCTAACTCAAATGCTGTGCTTGTTTCAGAATTTAGTGATAGAGTGTAGCTTGAGTGGTAATTTCACTCTCTTCACTCAATTTAATTTCACTAAATCCTAGGTGGATCCTAGATTTATTAGAGAGAAAACAGTGATACTTCATCAAACATGAATTTGTAGTTTGTATGACTGACCCAAGCACATCCTGTCACTGAATTAAGCAAGTCATTTTCAGTAAGAAAGGAGTAAAGTTGGGAAATAAAAATGAAGTATTTTAAGCAGGGGCTCAATCACAAAAAATAACTTTCAAAAATTAATGTCACTGTCAGATATATTTGTCATTTCTTTTGGAAAAAAAGATCTAATCAAGTGGTTACTATAGATAATAGGAAACAAAACATACTTTTGAAAATCTATGGATAGAGGATTAACTCAAGAGAGGAAGCAAGGGTTAAAGAAAACCTTTTGGAAGAAGGAACTCCTGACCCACCAGAGAAAACTCTTGACACTAGATTTCCTGGGGGGGACACAATGACTAGGCTTTCTTCTCATGAACCTATCCTTTCTCCTGTACACACACAATTGAAATGATCAATACTTGGTTTACTTTTTGATCCTGACAGGTTTATTCTGCCCTCAGATATTTAATACCCTCTCTTCTACACAAATGAGGAGCTCTGGTAGCATAGTGGTTATGAATTGGGCTGCGAACCTCAAAGGTCAGCAGTTCGAAACTACCAGCTGTTCCACGGGAGAAACAGGAGACTTTCTGCTCCTGTAAAGATTTACAGCCTCGGAAACCCTGTACAGGGTCACCATGAGTCGAAATCGACTCCACGGCACTTAACCAACCAACCAACCAACCAACCTTCTACATAAACAAGTAATGTCACTATTTAAAACAAGATACTTTATCAACAAGTCTGTTTCACACTCAAACTTGACCACTCAATAATTAACAAATACATCTGCCTGATAATAAGATTGAAGCAAATGCTTGTGGAAAGGGATTTTAAAGGCAGTTTAAAGTACAGAAGTCCCTGGGGTATGAATAAGATCCATTCCTAACTGTGTCTGTAACACCTTGTAAGAAGTTGGAACAGTTGCACATGGTTCTTCTTTAGTCTTAGTGCAAGATGGTTTGAAAGCTGCACCTGCAGCAAGTAAAGGTGATTGTGATGAAGTTGTTGCAAGTAGGAATCCTGATGTGGCTCTATAGGATAAGCACTGGACCACAAGGTCAGTTTGAATTTTAAGAGTAGCCGTTCAAACCCACCAGCTGTTCCTTGGAAACCCTATACACTGTTGCTGTGAGACGGAACCAGCTTGATGGGACGTCACAACAACAAGGGGCTTGAAGGACGTCCACGAGATGAATTGATACTGTGGTTACAACAGAGGACTGACTCAAACATCACAATTGTGAGGATAGTGTAGGACAAGGCAGTATTTTGTTCTGTTGTACATAGGATCATTGTGAGCTGACTTTATGGCACCTAACAATAAACAACAGTGACAAAGGTGGCAACAGCTTTAATCCTTTCCGTACATTAAAGGTCAAGTAGCAGTTGTCAAGCCTACTAGAGGATTGTCTGTATCTGAATTGGGGAGAGAGATACCACTGAGTGCAAAAAGGGGTAGAAGCTAAGTAGACCAAGAGATAAACTTGGTAGATTTCACCTTTTTTTGCTTTTGATCAGTGTTGTTTGAACAGGTCCAAGACTTGTAGAAGCTGTGCCTTGAGGTGTTTTTACCCAGTGTCTTGATAAACCAGTCTCTGTCTCTATCCCCTTCCTTACCCCATACACACATATTCTCAGTATCCCTGTACAGAATCACTGAGAATCGACTTGACAGCATATAACAACAAATAGCATATATGTAATATATGTATGTATGTAAATATGTATTAATATATGCATACAGATGCATATTTGTATATATGTATTGAAGTGCCATTGAGTCGGTTCCGACTCAGAGCAATGCTGTGTAGGGTTTCCAAGAAGCAGCTGGTGGGTTTAAACCATGAGCTTACGGTTCGTCGTCCAGCGCAGATCCTACACCAGAAGTCGTCCAATACATTAGGTGGTGAAAATGAGGTGAAGCCATATGTAAATTTCATTTCAATGATACTACCTTGCACATGGAGTTTTAGTGTGTTGCTGTCGGTTTGATCCCCAAGGTCGGCAGTTCAAACCCACCAGCTGCTCCTTGGAAACCTTATATAGGGTTGCTATGGGTCAGAACCAACTCGATGGAATTTAACAATAAAATCATCAAGCACATATTGTTCAGTGTAATTGGCTGTCTTAGTTTCCTAGTGCCATTATAACAAATACTACAAATGGATGGCTTTAAAGAGCATAAATGTATTTTCTCCCAGTTTAGAAAGCTAGAAGTATGAATTCAGGGCATTGGCTTTGGGAAGAAGTCTAGCCACTCTGATGGAAACATTTTTGTCTCTTTCACCTTCTGTTCTTCAGGGATCTTCACATGGCATTGATCTTTTCCCCATTTTATTTGCTTGTCCTTTTGTTTAATTTACTCTTTTTGTATTTCAGAAGTGACTTTTTAGATACACCCTACACTGATATGACCTCATTAGCTTCATAAAGACAACCCATTCCCAAATGAAATTACTCCATAGGTATAGGAGTTAGGATTCCAACACAGTTTTAGGGGATACAATTCCATCCATAACATATTCCAAGTTCATAGGACTGGCATTTTGATTACCATGTAACAAGGCTTTCATTTCTAGTTTAAATAATTTACTATTAATTGGTAATGCGGAGAAGTTGTCTTTTGAGCAGGGGACATTTTTTTTGTGTGTGTGCAAAATGGACTTAAGTAAATGGGGAGTGCAGAGACTGGGAAAACAGATGATTTGTTGAGTTAATTTATTGGGTTATGAGGTTATTGGGACTAGATAGGTATGATAATGTGACTGTGATGAGGTGGGTAAGGTTTACTAAAGAATGGGCAGTGTCAGATTGGATTGTTAGCATTGTTAGTAACTGGAGGCCAGGACTTTACTGCAAAGTTCAGTAAAAGTTGTTTCTTTGATTGCTTGCTTATATTGTTGTTAAGTGTTACTGAGTTGATTCTGACTCATAGTGAACCTGTATAGGGTTTCCAAGGAGCAGCTGGTGAGCTTGAACCATCGACCTTGCAGTTCAGACGACTTTGCAGTCTGGTGCATTAGCCCACAGTATCACAGCAGGATTAGTGTGAGTGAATTTAGACTAACCAAAACAAATTCTTTTAAACAAAGGTAATAAAATATATCTCATGTGGCATTACAGAACGCTTAATTGTGCTCATGAGGAACCTGTACATAGAACAAAGGGCAGTTATTTGAACAGAACACAGTGATTCTTAATTGTTTAAAATGGGAAAGGTGCTCTCCAGGGTTGTATTCTTTTACCATACTTCTTCAGTCTGCATGCTGAGTAAATAATCTGAGAAACTGGAAGAAGAGCGTGGCATTAGGATTGGAAGAAGGCTCATGAATAACTTGTGATGTACATCTTGCTTACTGGAAGTGAAGAGAGCTTAAATACTTACGGATTAAGATCAAAGACCACAGCCTTCAGTATGGGTTGCACCTCAGTGTAAAGAAAACAAAAGTCCTCACTGCTGGATTAATAAATGACATTATAATAAATGGAGAAAAGATTGAAGTTGTCAGAGACTTCATTTTGTTTAGATCCACAATCAGCACTCATGG